GAGCTCAGGAGTTCGAGATCAGCCTGAGCAAGAGCGAGACACCATCTCTACTATAAATAGAAAGAAATTAGCGGGACAACTAAAAATAGAAAAAATTAGCCGGGCATGGTGGTTTGTGCCTGTAGTCCCAGCTACTCGGGAGGCTGAGGCAGGAGGATCGCTTGAGCCCAGGAGTTTGAGGTTGCTGTGAGCTAGGCTGACGCCAAGGCACTCTAGCCTGGACAATGGAGTGAGACTCCGTCTCAAAAAAAAAAAAAAGAAAAGAAAAGAAAACATAAGAGAGAGACTCAGTGATCCTGGGTTTGACATGGATACCTTAACTGTGACCCAAAAAAAGCATCGAGTACGATTAAATAAAGAAAAAATAAATTGGACTTCATCAAAATCTTTTGCTCTTGAAAAGACACTGTTGCGAAATGAAAAGGCAAGCCACGGCCTGGGAAAATATTTACAAAACATGTATCTGAAAAAGACAAAACCTAAGAAACCCCCTCATACATCTGACAAAGGACTTGTATCTAGAATATGCGAAGAACTCGTAAAACTTAATAATAGAAGGTGCAAGGTATTCTGGGAAGAGTTTCGGTGGCGAGATGGAGACTGCTGGCTGTTACCAGGGCAACCGGAGGCGACTGACAGTTATCTGTGGTTTGGAGCCATTAGCAAGAGAGGCTGAGATGCTCAGAGGTCGTTTGGGATGAGCGGAAGGGCGATGAGAACTCCCTTAAAAGAACATTCTCCTACCAGGGGGTTATCCAGTCATTCCCTGTGATGTAACTGCTGGACCTGGGGGTCTGGTCGCTGTCACTTCTCCGGTTTTCTGCCTCCTTTTAGAAAATTGAGTTGAAAAGACAGAGATGAAGTCGATGTGGCATGTGGAGACAATTCTTTCAAGACGTTTGGCTGCTAAGGACAAAAGAGAAGGTGCCCAAGACCACACAAGCACGGAGCAGACAGGACACCTTTGCTACCACGCGGTGGCTTGTCTAAATTCGAAGCTAAAGAAGCCAAGCTGGAAGACAGAGACCAAGTCCTGATGACATCGTTTGACCTCAGGGACGCAGACATGCCTAAAAACTAGCTTTCCCACTGGACTTCTCAGTTAAATGAGCCAATACACTCTCTTTTTTACTTAAGGAAAAACTTAACAATAGAAGTCAACCCAATAAAAAACGGGCAAAAGATCTGGACGAATCAACATTTCATCAGAAAAGATATAGGATGGCAAATAAGCATGTAAAAATGATGCTCGACATTACTAATCTTCAGGGAAATGCCAATTAAATCACAATGAGCCGGGCATGGTGGTGTGCACACCTAGTCCCAGCTAGTCGGGAGGCTGAGGCGGGAGAATCGCCTGAGCCCAGGAGTTTGAGGTTGCTGTGAGCTATGGTGATGCCACCGCACGCCAGCCTGGGTGACAGAGTGAGTCCCTGTCTTGAAAAAAAAAAAGGACAGAGAGGGTCTGACACTCAGCCTCACCTGCACCCAGGTGTTGAAGACATTGACTTGTACGAAGGGGTCTCTCTGCCACTCTCCAGGGTCTCTTTGGACACGGAGCCCAGAGCATCATCTTTCTTGGGGCAGGGATGACGCAGAGGCCGGGCCTCCTGGCCTCTCTGAAGTCCAGGCCTCCCTCACCCCTCAGAGCTTTCAGGGTCCCTGATGCACATCTCTGCCTGCCCCCATCTTTCTCCATCTTGCCCCTAGGAAGGTGGCTCAGGGCACAGTCACAGGAACCAGGCAGCTGGGTTCAAACCAATGCTTAGTTCAAATGCAGGCAAGTGTCTCAGTTTGCCCATCTGTAAAATGGGATGATCACAGTTCCCGTCTCTTGGGGCCAAAGTCGGTGCTATGTAAGTGCTGGCTGCTCTTATCATCAACACGCCGCCATCCCTGACCTATTTAGGAAACTCCCCTTCCCACCTCTCTCCCTCTCCCCCAGCTTCCTTCCCACCCTCCTGGCTTCAGCTTTTTCCCCAGCTCTCGGGGTGACCTCACGGAATGCGTATTTGTTAATGTTTGTGCTATCTTGGCCAGAACGTGAGCCCCAGGAGGCAGGGACCATGTCTGTGTACTGTGTGTCCTCCAGGCCTGGGCGTGGCCGCGGTGCAGCTGTGGGTGGGAGACTGCGCGTTGTGGGATTGGGCTATGGTGTCGTCTCTGTTGGGTGTGTCTCTGCGGTGTTGCACAGGTCTGCACACGTTGGCTGGATGGCAGTGTATATGTTGTGTTATTGTGTTATCGTGTGGCTGTGTCCCTGCAGGGCAGGTGGAGTGGTGTGGTGCTGTATGAGTGTCAGTGGCCCTTAGTGATCACGTCTGCGTGTGCAGCCGCGCTGCGGTGTATCAACATCCGTGTCCGAATTCAGCGGCGTGTGGTTGGTGATTGTGCCGCCCGGTGAGCTGGATCTTGGCGTGGCTTTTGTGTCCCTGGCTGGATATATGTGTTATGTTATTGTGTGTCTGGGGTACAGCTGTGTGTCCCACCCCGTGGCAGGGTGGAGGTGGCTGCCGTTGTGCGTTGTGCATTTGGACGTGTATCGTGACACCAGCTGGGCATGGACTGGGCTGTTGTGTATTGAGAGCCTGGTGTGCCTTTGTGCCGTTGTGTGGCCGAATAAAGGTGTGTGCTGATGTGTTGTTGTGTCTCTGGCTGGGGTGGGTTAGTCTCGACGCGCAGTTGTGTAGCCAGGTGAGAGTGATCACTTGTGTGTTACCATTGGTCTGTGTGCCTACGTGTGTGTGTGTGTGTGTGTGTGTGTGTATGAGAAAGAGAGAAAGAGAGATAGAGAGAAAGTGGGGGAGAGAGAGAGATGGACCCCCAGCCCAGGGGTCATTATAATTCCTCCTGCCTCTCTCACATCTGGGCAACAGAGACCCCTTTGTTCTCAGTGGCAGAAGCGGGGACGTCCCCTCTCTCTTGAGGCCCCTGGCAAGTTCTCAGCCCCAAGCCTGGTCAACAAAACATCCTCTGAGCTTCTGCATTGAGTGTGGCACTTCCTGGGAGTGCTGGCGTATCAGTGGTGGCCCTGACCTGTGACCACCAGAGTGGTGGGGGCAGAGCTGGAGGAGCCCAGAGGGGACCTTCACCCAAGCCCCAGGGGCTAAGAGATGGCTTCCTTGAGGATAGTATTGTTACAAGATAATTGTGGGGAAAAAAGGGAAAATCACGACTCTCCTACAGATTTAGCACCTGTTAGAGATTTGACTTAACTCGTTCACGAGGGAACTGCCAAGTGTTACAAATTGAAAGGAGAATCAAAGACAGACACAAGAGATCAGGAATATTGAAACGAATGTGCAAAGGCAGGGAAAATACTGGAGGGGAGAGGGTTGTCCCTCCACCAGACAGATCTCATCGGCATGTCTGCAGAATTATTTTACACTGTTGTCGCTTATCTATAATTTACAGAGTTGCAAAATAGAGCCCATAGAATCGATCACTCTGAATGAGTTGTTATGGGTTAAATTGTGTGTGTCCCATCCTGATAAATGTATGTGATTTAAGCCACTCAATTTGTGGCACTCTGTGAATACGGCCCTAGCAAACTAACGCAGACACACTCTAGACAAGGCATAGTTTTCCACTGATGCACAGAGATTTCCCTACAATATGTCGGAGCTGATTCTTGGAGGAGGAGCAGGAGTCAGGCAGCAGGAGGAGGCAGGAATAGCATGTGCAAAAGTCCAGAGGCAGGAAAGTGGGTGAGGTTCCTAGTGAAAGGACAGTGGACAGTGGTTTGATGCTGCTTGGGCATTGAGAGAAGGGACAAGGTGGGAACCATCGGACCAGGCTGCGACAGGTCACACTACCATTTGGGCTTTTGTTCTGAGGGCCTGGGAAGCACAGGAAGCTCTATTTACAGGCCGTTCACTTTTAGCCCAGGCCCGCGTTAAGTGCTCTATATAAACTCGCTCATTAAATCCTCCCAAGACGTCTGGGATCGGGGGTCACACAGCCAGCGGCAAAGGTGCCAGGAGGACTTGAACTGCCTGCCCAGAGATGTCAGGGTTCTAGCCGCTTAAGGACTCAGGGAGGCTGGAGCCAGAAGCCAGGGGCAGGAAGACCCCAGCCTGAGTTTCTCTCGATTGTACCAGACGCTGTTCTAGTTCTTTCTACGTGTATGAACTCATTTACTGCTCACGTCATCAGCCCACAAGGGAAGTACTGTTTCCATGTGGCTTCACGCCCTTTAGTTCCAGCTGCCAAATCGCTCCCGTGAGGGAAGGGCCTTTGTCTACTTCCCGATCGCTGCACCCCTGGAAACTAGGCCTGCAGGCGGTCAGGCAGGACACATTTGCCAAGTGAGCGGACATTCCCCGCAGGCCATAACTCCCATCTGCCAGACGGGGAAACTGAGGCACAGAGAGAGAGGCGACCGCACCCTAACCCCTCAACTCGGCTGCTTGGTGCCAGCCCTTTCCACGAACCCCTCTGCTCGGGGGCGGCAGGAGGGGTTCACGGAAAGAGACCCCCGTTGTGCGAGGATCAGGTGTCGCCGGGTCAGCTGTCGGGTTCTGTAAGGCGGCGGGGCGGGGGGTCAGGAGCGCGCCCGGACACCTCGCCCTCGCGGCCTTGGCCCCAAGGTCTACCCCAATCCCGAGGGCCTCGCCCCCTCGCTGTCCCCTGGGGAGGGGAGGCCCAAGCATCGCACCTCCCCGACGCCCACGGGCCCCTCCCGGCCCACGCGCGCCCAGTCCCGAGCCTGTCCCCGCGGGGCCGTACCATTCCGGCCCGGGGGACTCTGGGCGGGGACGCGCGGGGGGCGCTTCTCCCGGGGACTCCCTCTGTCGGGACGCTCCCTGGCCCAGCAGGGGATAGGAAGTAAGTTGGCGAGGGGGCCTGGCGGGTCGCGGGCCTCGAGTCCCCCTCCTGAGCGCCTCTCCGCCACCCCCGTCTCTCCCCGTCCACCCCCTCCCGGCGTTGGTTCGCGCCGCGGAGCGCGGGGAACAGGCCGCTCTGCGCAGGCGCCGGCGGGTGCGTCCACACCGCGGGTCGCTCGCTGCCGCGTCGGGCTCCGGCGGGGGTCGCGCTCCGTAGTCATGGGTCTTCCGGTGCAAGTCGTTTATTGGTAAGCGCGGCGGCCAGAGGATCCTGTCCGGTTGGAGACGGGGTCTGGCAGCGTAGCGGGGAGGACTCAGGGCACCCCAAGAAGAGAAAGGATTCCAGTGCGGGTGGGGTGGCGCGCCCAGGGCGCGGATCCGCCCTGCCCGGCGTGTGACATGCTGGGCATCTCAGACTGTAGAAGGTGGCTCTGAGACCTGCGTGTGTCCCTTGTAAACACCGACTCCGGGGCTCGGGTGGGAGAAGCGGTGGGGAGCAGTTTGCGATGGGACCTCAGCTTCCGTCTACCGTTAGGTTTCCCCTCCCCCAATATCCCGAACAGCTGAACAGTGAGGGGCGAGAAGGTTTGACAGTGTCCCTGCCTGTGCTTTGAAAGGAGTTGAATGAATACGTTCTGGACCTCCGCCCAGTGGGTTCCCGTGGTTGCTAACCACGTTCCTTTTCTGGCCTCAGTTTCCCCATCTGTAGTGGGGAAGAAACCTTACTAGTTATCCCGGGTGAAGTGCTTTATACTTCCCCCCAGTGCTATGCTGGCATGCAGTAAGTGCTTAATAAATACGTGTTCAATGAATTTACTCTCCCAGAAATCTCTTCACGGAGAGGAATTTTAGCTCCATCTTACAGGTGAGGAAACTGAGGCTGGGAGTGGGTCAGGAGCAGGTCAGTGGCTCGAGGTCCAGACTGCAGGTGACAGGAACATGTGAACCCAAGTGTGCGGGCCATACTGTGTGTCATGCCCACCCAGGGCTCTGATCTGATCTGATCTGATCTGTCCCGGCATTAGACATGTCTTTGCCTGCTCCACCAAGCAGAGGCCGGAGTGACGTTTTGCGGCACCCAGGCGGCCTGTGCACCAGATTCCAGTCCCGAAATAGCCTGCGTGGGGGTTGGGGAGCTCTGGTTTCAGCCCCAGGACTGGGAGGGCGTTTAGAATCCAGGGGTGACAGGGTTCTCCTCACACCACGAGGGGGCTGAGGGCACAGGGAGTGGGCAGGGTGTCTGGTTCTCATCCTAATCCAGTCCTCTCCGGTTCCCTCCCTGCTGCCTTCTCTGTCCACCCCCCTTCTCTGTCTCTTGTCCCCGTGCTGGGTTTCGGTTTTCTTTGTGTATCTCTGTGTGGGTGTCCCCCTCTTCCCTGCGTCTCCGCCCCCCACCCCCACTGTTCCACAACACCCTCTCTGTGTCTGGTATCTGTCTCCTCTCTCGAGGGTATCCGTTGCCGCCTGTGTTTTGTCCCCTGTGCCCCTCTTTATCTGTTCCCCGGATCCCCCGTCTCCCTCTTGCCCCTCGGACCCGCTCTCTTGGACTCTCCACCAGTGGAGCTTGAGGCTACAAGTCCAAGGTAGGGGTGGTGACCGGGAGGCATCCCTGGAGGTTGGGGAGGGCTAGAGTGCATGTCGGGGGCAGGGCTGGCTGGTGTGACCCGTGTCGTGACCTCCACCCTGTTTTCAGTATCTTCAGCTCAAGAAGAAGTTAGAAGATGAGTTCCCCGGGTGCCTGGACATCGTGAGTTGCGGGGGTGGGGAGAAAGGCTCAAACGTGGGCACCTTGTCTGTCCCTCAGGCCCTGGATGGCAGTGGGGAATGGGCTCGGCCAGCCCTGCCCCCTTCCCTCATGTTCTCCGTTCCCTGGGAAGGGGGGAGGGTGTCCCCAAGCGGACATCTGAGCCCTTCCAACATCTCTCTTTCCTCAGTGTGGCGAGGGGACTCCTCAGGCCACTGGGTTCTTTGAAGTGATGGTAGCTGGGAAGTTGGTTCACTCCAAGAAGGTATGTCTGTCTGTCCGTCTCTTTTTTTTGGTTAGTGTAGGGTTGGGGCTGAAGTTGGTGTCTTGGTCCCAGCTCACCCCTTCTCTCTTACTCCCCTCCCCAGAGAGGTGATGGCTACGTGGACACAGAGAGCAAGTTTCTGAAGCTGGTGGCCGCCATCAAAGCCGCCTTGGCTCGGGCCTAATGTGGCCTGAAGGCAGAGGTGAGGGGTGCCTGCCGAGATGGGGATGCCGCCCTTTGGATACTCCCCTCTCCCATACTGTGACTCCCCGGCCCTGGGTGGAGAGTCTGGGAGATGGGGCCACACGAGGTGTGTCCCCAGAGCAAGAGGGATGGACATTCGACCTGGGGTGGTGCAGGATGACACCCGAGATGGTGATGGGGTCAGAGGACTGCCCTAAAACAGCTCTCCTGGTTTGGGAACAAAAGGTGCCAAAGAGACACAACAGTTCAGAATCTGGAACCGTGGGTCTTTGTCATCGCCAGGAAACAGTTCCCAGCCCAACAGGCCACATAGCTGAGTGTCAGCCCGAGTTGCCAGCATGTTTTGAGACAGAATTCCCATGTCTGACACTTTTGACCAATGGCGAATTGTTTTCGGGCTCTGAACCTGAGAACTGGTTCTAGAAACATTCCAGAGCTGACCCTAGCTCCAGAAACACACCTGCTTTAGAACTGACCGTGAGTCCAAGAATGTTCTAGAAACAAACGGTAACTCTAGACCTGATCACCTGCTCCAAAACTACCCTAGAATGGCCTCTAGTTCCCCTATATATAGTCTAGAATCAAATACAATACCAGCTCCCAACACACCATAAACCCAGGCCCCCTTCCCAACCCCGCGCTTGAGAAGTGTGAACCGGCTCTTCCTAAACACTAGAACTGACTGATAGTTCCTGGAATTGACTAGGTCCTTGTGCACTCTGAGCCGGGTTCTAGTTTCTAACCCAGTCATTGCTGAACAAGCAGCAATTTCCATGTTATCCTGGGAACACAGAACTGCCTTCCAGCACCCTCCGAGTCTGATTTTCCGGTTTTGATGCCAGTATGTTCCAGATGAGCTCCAAACCCAACCTACTCCGGAACTGGGCACCAGTTACTAGCCCCGTCCACAGCTAAGTTCTGGTTCTGACGCTGCGGAACCTAGACCATACTTTCTACCCTTCTGTAAACTTCAATACCAGTTCCCACTCCATGGTGGGGTAGAACAGAGGGGCCCCTCCCAGCACACTGAGGACCCGAGTACCTGCTCCCAGTGTGCTCCGTGCCAGAAAACTAGGTTCAGATGTTTTAAACTGAAGTTCCATTTCCTAGAATTCTTTACCAGAGCGGAATGAGGTCACATCCAATGTCAACGGGGACATGCAGATTTGAAGTAGTGCAGTACGATAATAGAAATAATGTCTTGCCTTATGTGCAGGTCTGAAATGAAGTCAGTTGCCCCCAAGTAAAAAAAGGAATTGGATAGTTCCAAAGCTGCACAAGCTGCTACTTTGTGGACTGTCGCTGTAAGGAGGGTGGGGCTAGGGTGCCACCGTAGCAGGATTTGAATCCCGTTTATACACACCGTCGGCCAGTTCCTAACTGTCTATAACTCAGATCTGTTGTCTTAATTCAGCTAGAGATTTACTTGGATTCCAGAAAGGTTAAATCAATAGATGATTTCATCCAACATAAAAATAGGATTTACGTAAGAAAAATGAGGGAAGGGAAGAAAACCACAGACAATCTGGCAAGAGTGAGCCTTGTTTGCATGTTTTGTGGGTGCAGTTTCAGGATGTCCCCAAGACTACCCAAGGACTCTGGGAACTCGGCAGAGCTGTGACACTCACAGCTGATTACAGCGAAAGGTACAGATTAAGGTGACCGAAGGGAAGAGGCAGGTGGGGCATGGTCCAGGAGAGACCAGGTGCTTCCACTTGTCCTCTCCCAGGGCGTGGTGTGGGCAGCGCTGAACTCTCCCAGCCACGATGTGTGACAACATGCGTCAAATTTCGCCGGTCAGGAAGCTCGGCTGAGCCGTGACGTCCAGGGTTTTTATTGGGAGTGGGTCACGTGGACGTGGCTGCCCTTAGTCTTCAGCCCCCGCCCCCAGAGGTCAAGCAGATACCGCGTGGCCCACCGCCCCCGACACAAATCACGTTGTCAGCGTGGGCTGTCTGGCATGGCCCGAGGGCCCTGGTAGACCGAGACCCTCTTACCAGGCAGGACACTGTAGGGGCTTAGAGGTGACCTCCCAGGAGCTGGGCACGGTGAATCCTGTCCTGCCCAGGAGGGAAACCAGTCAGTTGGTGAGGACAAGGAGGTCAGTGTGGGACACTCTGTGCCCAGCTGGACCGACGCGGATATCAAAGAAAACTGGCCACTGATGGGTCCTCTGGAAGCCAGGTTTCCCGGTGCTGCTTTCTGTGAGGTCCGCTGCCCGTCAGCACTGACCACCGTTTTCCTTATCAGAGTTCCTCCCTGCAGACTCCGCCGAGGATGAAGTCTCAGCCCAGCTCACTTTGTCGGGTTACAATGCCCTGCCCCATGACCTCATGGGGCATCCCATTTCCTTGTGCCTCAGTTTCTCTCTGGGCCTGCATTTCCCTCCATGTCGCTCTCTCTTTGAACTCGGGCCCCCAGCTGGCCTGTGTCCCTGCCAGCTGAACCCCTGCACCTTTTCTCTTCGCAGTCCAGAGACCTTGACCCAGCCCCTCTCGGCAGACGCTTCATGACAGGAAGGACTGAAATGTCTTGCGGACGCCTGGTCTTTCCTTGACGTTCCTGCGGCCGCCGTGTTGGGGCAGAGATCGATGCCCCTGGTCTTTGCCTGTGTGGGTGTGTGTGTGTGTGTTTCCCCCGGAGTCTCCCTTTCCCCGCTGCCCTGTCCTCTCCTGTCCCCCGATTTCACCATCTCTCCCTGCACCCCTGTGTCTCCCTCCTTGCCCTGCCCCCCAAGTCTGGGGGAGGTCCTGCCTCCAGCTTCCTGCTCAAAGGGAAGCCGAGAGAGGGATCAGGATGGGTGAGTCTCAGTTGCAGCGACGTTTGCAACATTTCTCGGTTCAATAAACACTGGACAAGTTTAGCCGAGTGTGCCTGTGTCCGTGTATCCTGCTTTGCTCCCAGATCCGCTGCCCTCCAGGCCCCGGGCCCAGAAATCAGCGACCACGTGTTGTGCTCAGTGTGCCTTTGCTGACAAGTAAGCACTTTACAGCAACGCTGAGGTTATACAGGGGAGGAAACGGTGCAGTGGTGATTTTAATTCAAACAAGACCCTAGCTGGGCATGTGGCTTGTGCCTATAGTCCAAGCTGATCAGAGGCTGAGGCAGGAGGATCGCTTGAGCCCAGGAGTTAGAGGCCAGAGTGAGCTATGATCATGCCACTGCACTCCAGCCTGGGCAGCAACAGAATAAGACCCTGACCTCCAGATCCTTTGTTTAAATAAGAAACCTTGCCATGGCCCCAAATCCTTTGTCACTTGTACTAGTCCGCTGTGGCTGCCATAACAAAATACTACAGACTTCGTGGCTTTGACAACAGAAATTTATTTTGTCACAGTTCTGGAGGCCAGAAATCCAAGGTCCAGGTGCTGGTAGGGGTTGGTGTCCTCCGAGGCCTGCGTCTCTCGGCTTCTCACTGTGTCCTCGCGTGGCCTCTCCTCTGTGCGCACACGTCTCTGGTGTGTCTTTGTTCGAGTTCCCTTTTCTAAGGACACCGGTCAGATTGGATCAGGGCCCCCGCTCATGGCCTCATTCTAACTTCCTCACCTCTTTAAAGGCCCTGTCCCCAGACACAGTCACACTGTGGGGCACTGGGAGTTAGGGCTTCAACAGAAGAATATGGGGGGCGCTCAATTTGGCCCATAACAACTCCCCTTTGGAGCTGGGGTCTATGCCTCTCCCTCTGAATCCGAGTGATTCCTTCCACCAAGAGCATGTGGCAGAACCGGTACCACGAGATTTCCAGGGTTAGGGTCAGGAGAAGCTGCACACAGGCACAATGGCGTGCTTTCCAAACCCGCGCGTGCCTCGCTCCTGCTGACGGGTCGTAGGCTAAAGCAAGTCCCACGGCTGAACCCAAATTCAAGGGGTAGTGAAATGTACTAATAATGTACTCCCTCTTTTTGGTGGGAGGTATTGCGAAGTCACATGGCAAAGCGTGTGGGAGCAGGCAGGGTGAAGAATTGGGACTATTAATTCAGTCAGCTGCAGGGTACTGGCAGTCTCTGTTCCCAGTTTTGAGGAGACGTGGCTAGACCTCTGTATTCTTAGACAAATTTCAAGCCACATTTGCCCCATTGGGGCGAAGCAGCAGTCAAAAGCAAGAACTAGCCAGGTGCGGTGGCTCACGCCTGTGATCCCATCCACTTTGGGAGGCCGAGGTGGGAGTATTGCTTGAGCCCAGGAGTTGAGACCAGCCTGGGCAACATAGACAGACCTCATCTCTAATAATAATAATAATAATAAAAAAACCCCAATTAGCCGGGCTTGGTGGCGCTCCTGTAGTCCCAGCCTGGGAGGATGGCTTGAGCCCAGGAGTTTGAGGCTGCAGGGAGCTATGATGACGCCACTGCGCTCTAGCCCAGGTGACTTGGTCAGCGTGTTTGCCAATAAGCAGTTCCTACTTTTTTTTTTGAGACAGGGTTTCACTCTGTCGCCCTGTTTGTTGTAATATGTTATATATTAATATTTATATGCAGTGTTGTTATATTTATATTAATATCACATTAATATTTCTTTCATTAACATTGAAATTATTAATATATACTCAGGGTTGAATTTTTGCTGGTTAGTGGCCGAGGCTAGGGTTGTCTTGGGACGCCACCAGGAGCTTCCTGTGACCTCTCGTTCGAAGTGGGTCCCTGATCCCTGTGTTTGGGAGAAGAACTGCAGCTGTTTGGAGGAAGGTGCTAGGTGGTAGTGCAGGAGATTCCGTTTTGGGCCCCAATATTTCGCCCCTCCTCATATCCGTGCCTTTCCGCCCTTTATAACCCTCCTACTAGAGAGAAATTGTTACTTCCTCCACGCTGGACGGTGGCTTTGACCACGTGACTCCCTTTGGCCAATGGAACCAGGCAGAAGGAGTAGTGCCTGGTCTGCGCTCCTGGTTGCCTTGCTCTTGTGCGCCCCCTGCTGGTCCCAGAGAGACACGTGGAGCAGAGCAGCCCCAGCCAAATAGCCACAAGGAAAAACAGAGCAGAGCCACTCTCTCCCCGCACAAAACCCACGGACACGCGAGCAAGCCCTGCTGAGCCCAGTGGAGAATGTCCTAGATCGAAACAATCCCAAGCCAACCCTCGTACACATGCATTATAATAATACATTGTTTAGTCCCAGCTACTCTGGAGGCTGAGGCAGGAGGTTGGCTTGAGTCTAGGACTTTGCCGTTGGAGTGAGCTATGACACCACTGCACTCTACCGGGGGTGACGGAGCGAGATCCTGTTTCAAAAAACAAAACAAAATAAAACAAAACAAAAAGTTGTTGTGGCCCATTGAGTTTTGGGGTGGTTTGTTACACAGCAATAGCTGACAGGTGCAACATGGAACTGACATCTTATGATGGGAGACATGGATCCCGGATAGAGGCCTTAGCACCTGATGGCTAGATTAGGAATTGCTTGGGTTTGATCAACCTCTTCTGGCAAGATTCAAGGACTGTCTTCCGAGAACCTGGCTGTCAGCCATTATGCAGTCACTCTTCTGTGTCAGCTGAGGTTGGGGTGCTCGGACACCCTCCTTAGTGCACCGTCATCCTCGAACGCAACCCCAGCCATCACATTGATGTTCGACGTATGGGAGGACACTGGGAAGTGACTGGAAGTCTTACAGACCCACTTATTAATGTTTCATGTGCCAAGATTGTGAGAGCTGCGGGAGTCTGTCTACTTTTGCTTCTATACAAACAAACCTCAGCCTGTTTATTTGTTACAAAGTCCATTTAGATATTTCACTACCCAAGCAGATTCTGGCTAATGTGGGCTATAAAGATGTGGGTGAATCATTGAGGTTTAAAAAACTTCCTTCAGAATCTATTTTATAATAGAGTGGGTTCTGGTGGCTATTAATAAATGATGAAGGTATTTCAAAATCAGGAATAGCTTCTTTCAAACATCCTTTCACTGAGAGCCATGGTGTTGACTCTACCAATCTAACGTCTACCGATCCTGAAAAAATTGATTCAAATTACTAAAACATGTGAACAGAATTGCTTCTGTGTAAAATCCACCAGAATATTTGTGAAAGGCACCCAAGACAGGAGGATGTTACTGTTTTTATTTTGACAGCTCTCATCCAATTGTCGGCTGACAAATTGGGAGTTCTAACAATCTGGTGAGAAAAACTCTGGAAAGTGTTTTAGTGAATCATTTGTGTCTAACCCTGCCCAGATTCTCCTCCCTGATGGGCGGAGTCAGGCCATTGGGTGGCCTAGGGGAGGTCAGAAAACCCATCGGATTCTGCGAAGAGGGATCTGTATGCAGAGGTCTCAGTCTTCGAGGCTTCTAAGTTGAAAACATCTACGAAACCACATCTGGAAAGGACTGGTCAGATGACCAAGATGAGGGGAATGTGCCGAGAACAAGAAAAAGTCACAGCCTCGGCTATGATGCTTTTTCCTTTTAAAAATAGCTTTATTGAGTTAAAATTCACACACCATAGGATTCACACATTTAAAGTGCACAATTCAATGGTTTTTTTTTTTTTTTGAGACAGAGTCTCACTATGTTGCCTGGACTAGAGTGCCGTGGCGTCAGCCTAGCTCA